TTTTTTTCAGGTCTGATTTTCGCTATTGCTTAAATAGCGCTATCTACTGCGAGGATCGTGCACCATATGTATCTAATACCGCAGTTCAAAATATATGAACTTCATATATTTCATTGTATCTGATTTATCACTTTCACGGGTTTATTACGAATCAACTTAACGGCCTGCTCCCAGTTGGCTTGTTAGCTCAATTGGTAGAGCGCTGCACTAGTATCGCAGAGGTCAGTGGTTCGAATCCCGTACAGGCCTGATTTTTTTTCAGGTCTGATTTTCGCTATTGCTTAAATAGCGCTATCTACTGCGAGGATCGTGCATCATACGTATCTAATTCCGCAGTTCAAAATATATGAACTTCATATATTTCATTGTATCTGATTTATCACTTTCACGGGTTTATTACGAATCAACTTAACGGCCTGCTCCCAGTTGGCTTGTTAGCTCAATTGGTAGAGCGCTGCACTAGTATCGCAGAGGTCAGTGGTTCGAATCCCGTACAGGCCTGATTTTTTTTCAGGTCTGATTTTCGCTATTGCTTAAATAGCGCTATCTACTGCGAGGATCGTGCACCATATGTATCTAATACCGCAGTTCAAAATATATGAACTTCATATATTTTCATTGTATCTGATTTACATACAAACTGTCATTGTGAAAAATTTAGATGGTTTCTCTTTCAAATGATTGTGGAAAATGTAAAATACACAAAATGGTGTTTGCTATTCATTGTATTTAAGTTACCAATGTTCCTTGCATTTCTGTAACACTGTATTTCGAGGCATCGTAAGAGAAAATACTGCGTTTTTTTTTTGCAATTAAAGACGAAATGTGCATAGCTTTTAGATGAAACTGAATTACTTTCGGTTTAAGAGCCGAGACACACTTTCCTCAGGGATTTCCACTCAGTCGCAACTTACCTTCTGAATATGCTGGACAGGTTTGACTCCCAATCGATGTTTTTACATGCATATCTTACATATGCTACTCGAAATGACGGGTGAAGTTGCATTAAACTTGAATGTCGTTTCCGTCAACACGGTAATAGCTTTCAACGTCATATATTTTTTTGTTTCATTTCGGCAAATATATTTCCTATTTAGCGGCGATAAATGAACATTAGGGTCAGCCTTAATGCATTTCGCATAGAAGATAATAACACTCAATTTATAATCTGAATAAAAGTTTTTTTTCGCTCTTTAAAAAGACAGTTTTGAAGCTTTATCATCTTTAAGATACTCAAAATGGCGAATTCATTTGCAACTGGTTATACACATTGATATAAAGGGCTTAGCGCAAAAGTGAGAAATACGTTTCGTTTTTTGTTAGTTGCTGTAGTGCTTCATTAAATCTGATTTCTAGCCATGGGGTATTCTGCTTTTAATTTTGAGCTGAATTAGGAGGATTTAGATTTATCTTATCATTAAATATGTCCTGCGATGTCTTAATGTGTCAGCGATGTCTTTTATTAAAAGATGAAAATGTTTGCAGTGCTGCTAAAAGGTGCTTTTCATGAGCTTAACTAGAATAAACTTAATTAGTGCAAGAGCAAATTGGTTTATCTCCTTTCTGATCTGATGGAAATTGCGGAGACATTACGTTTAGAATAATAACAATAGGGACAAAATATATACAACTAGTTCAATAATAATGTGGTAATGAAGCGAAGGAAGTGAAGTGCAAATATCCTGACTGGCACACGTTATTAACACTATAAATCCTAAGGGTTTTAGTGACTGAGAAAGTGAGTGTCAA